TATATTTTTTAATGTATTTTAATTCAAGAAATTTAGATCAAGTTAAATATAATTTCGGTAATTAAGTAAAATAATTTTGTCATTAATAAAAAACTAGTTTCGTCATTTTGGTTTCGTCAATTTCGTCATATTAAGAAAGGTAATTTCGTCAGGTATCACTACTCATATTCTATTTATAAAATCTGAAAAATTGTAGTAATAAAGAATGACCAGTTTTATATTATCTGGATGGAGAATTTGCAATATCTTGTGGGTTTGTACAAGAAGAACTTATGTTAATAGTTGATCCAGAAAAAGTTAGGTATTTACCTCAAAGTATATTATCCGTAAATTTCGTTCATGCTTCTTCTATCAATAGTGAGTTAAACCAAGTTATTAGTTATACTCAAAGACGTAATGGTCAATATCTAGGAAAGACTGGAGAAATAAATGGACATAATATATATCTTTGGTCTTGTGAGAATGATGCACATTAATGGGAACATTTATTAAAATACATCATGAAGAAATTTGAGTAGTGCTCTCTTTGTCATCATACTACTGAAAAAAATGTACAATATATTTTTGAGGATCTGCTAGACAAAAAATTTCTATCCTGTAGACCATTATTTTTGAATAGAATGCAACTCGATAGATATAATGAAGAACTACAACTAGTATTTGAATTCCATGGTCAGCAATATTATACTCTTAATTCAATGTTTCATAGGAGAGGGGATATAGATTTGGATGAACAAAAATCACGAGATCAGAAGAAATGGAATATATACAAGGAGCAAGATATATGTCTTATTGAAATGTCGTATACATGTGACCTTTTTCCTTATATTAAGTATATGCTAATTGAGAAAGAATTCTTGAATAGTTAAGTTTTGAGACAACGACCTGTCCGAAAATTTCATAATATATTTTTAAAGTATGATATTAAGCAATATAAAAGATCATAAGAAACATCAAGTCAGAAAACTTGATCCAGTAAATAAAATCGTTCTCCATATTGATAAAATAAAAGATGCAAAAAGATTCAACGGATTAAACTCAACTCCCCAATGGCCTTTCACCCTTCTGATCTCAGGACGGACTAATTCAGGAAAAACTAATGAAGTTGTGAATCTATTATTAGGAAATAAGCTATATCGAATGTTTAATGGAAAAAAAAGGGGACCAGATATATTAAAAATGATGATTTAATTCTTATTGGCCACTACCTCAATGAGTCAAAATATAAGTATCTCAAATCTGCCTATCAGATAATTGCAAATAGTCCAAAACCATATTGTGAAGATATCACATTTCAGGCTATGAAGCCTGATAAAATTCCAAAGTTAGATTCATTCTCTTCAAAAAAAGATATAGTGGCCATATTCGAAGATGTATGCACTGATTCAAAGAAAGTCTAGGAAAAAATCGTTCCTTATTTTACTGAAAGGTGTCACAAAAATATTAGTAGTATATACATCATACAGAGCTTTTTCGACTACTTGGGAACAATAAGAAAAACTTAAATTATGTTGTACTTTTTAATAGGTTCACTTCAGAAGAATTGAACAGAATTTTTTGCCTATATACTTATAATTAGCATAGCATATATGAAGATATTATTAACTATTTGACTGATCACAATTTTATTGTCTTTGATTTAATAGTGCCTCCAAATTATCCTCACAGGATACAAGCTGAATGAGATAAATTTTTGAAAAAAATGTCTAAGCTAGTGAGTAGAAATTCTTTCAGGTTAGCATTCCCTCAAAGCTATTAATGAAATGAGACAAAATGTATATTTTTTCTGGGCTTCTAGGTCATATTCAGACTCTCTACGCCTCTTCACCCATAATTTCCTTTCATAAGTGTTAGAATAAATTTCTGGTTCTATATTTTTATCATTATATTTTGTATAATTAGACATCTGATCAATAAGAGCGATAATTTTCCTATCTTTAACAGAAATAATATCCTCTAGATATTGGTATTTGTCCTCTAATATGTCAATAGACTTTTCAGCTGATGCAATGGCCTTTTTCGTATCAGGAATTATACTTTTTAAAAAGGATACTGAATTTGATAATTGGGTGACTTTCCCACCACTCTCTTCTAAAGACCTGATTATAGCTACCTCATAAGACTTATATTGCTTTTATAAATCGAGAAGCTCTTTGATCTTTTTTCCAATACTTGCTTTGATATACATAACTCCTCATTTTCCTGCCTTAACGAAATTTCACAGTTGCTAGCAATAGGCTTCATCTTTTGATGCTCTTTTTTCTTAATATAATTTTCAACTGCTTTATTTAACAAATCTTCCACTTCAGTGTGAATACTACTTGCCTGTTCTAATGATAAAATGGATATTTTTGAGATGTAAGATGTCACCATATATCTATTTTGATAGATTAAGAAAGTTGGTTAATTTGCTTCAAGTTATATATGTAAAAAGATGGTATTAGTATGCTAGTCATTTCTTATAAATAATAAAAAATTCTGAGAATTAAAGAATACTGCGTATTCAGGAAAAGGAATTTAAAAAATTTAAAAAATAAATTCACACGTCAGTTTTATGACACCAATCTGGCAGATCAACTAGAAATATTAGTTCTGATCAAGAATTTCACGTGACATCTGATCATTGGCCATAAACTTTTGTCAAAAAAATTCATGTGATTGTGTTCATTTCAATTTGGAATACAGATCACTTTTGCCAAGAAAATTTTATTATCCAATATATGCTACACATAAAAACCGTTTTCTCAGAAAACAATCAGCAAAAAATATGAATATATATTTGTGAAATCAACCATTAGGGTCACTTTATTAATACAGAAAAATAATAATAAATTTACTATATATATAATCCTATTTATTCAGAATTTATATTTGAACTGCCTTTATTTCTTTTGGATTTAACTGAGGGTGCGTTAAGTAGTAAAGACATATTATCTATTAGAATATTTTGTAAAATCAGTAAAATTTTTACAAAATTTGTTACGAGAAATAAATCAGATGGTTATACAAGAATTTCTGCTTCATAAAGATGGTAATAATAATAAATATCTAATGAGAACATTTAAACGCATTATTTGTCTAGCAACTTGCATTCTAATAATTTTGAATTCATCTTTATTTGACCCAGATGATTTATGAATCCAGTACATCCTATCATTAGCCTCACACCATAATTTTATTTCATCATCTATTTCCTTCTATAATGTGCAAGACAAGCGTGAACTTTCAACATATATGAGCTCGTATTTTTTTCTATCATGCTTCATTACAAATATGATATCTGGCTGTCTTCTTGTTTGCACTTTACCTTTTTTATCTGCACTAGCTGAACTTTGGTGTTCAGCACTAATAGAAGAAGAACATTAGTGACAGTCTAAGTTTTTGATATATTACTTTTACTAATTATATTATAACTCACTTGCTGATATAAGATGACCTCCCTAAAGGAAGACCTTTTAATGTAACCTAAATAGCAGGTACAAATACATTTGTTACATAAGTACCTTCATTTTGTGATTTCGCAAACTCAGAACTAAATGTAGGATTATTACATAAATCATTTAGAAAATCCAAAATCCTTAATGTGACCTCTGCAAGCTTCTCATCTGATTCTTTCTACTCTCTATTATGCGAAAGTTTTTGTGGTAAAATGTTCATATTACTATCAATAAAGCTAATCACGAATTCTTCACATTTTCTCATATAATTTGTAAAAGTGATGAAGGAATCATATTCTTTACTGGTTTCTAATGATAGTATAAGTTAAATGATATCGAGATCAAAAAATATCAGCTGTTAGCCAGAGAGGTTCAAAGAACTAGGCGCTTCACATATGACTGTATAATAAAAAAGAAAAATTTACCATAAAAGACTTCTTCAACCATTCTGGCAATTTTTCCATCAGATCTAAATTATTGCTAATCACTTGGTTAGCTAGAGGGTCCTTATAGATTAACTCAGAAACAGACACCTCATTTATACCAAAAAAACAAATGGTGGTAAAATTGTAATGTATTTTTTCTAAGTTTATCCTTTAATGTCTTGATATTTCCAATTTTATCTGAATTAAGAGGCTTTTCTCCATTCATCTTCACTGCATCAATGTTACGTAAACTACAAACTGTTTAAAACCAATTTCAACTAACGCAGACATACAATTAATTAATTCTAGATATATATATATAATTATCAAAAGTGCATGCGTTATCAAATTAAATCAAAGCCCTATTCTCATATGGTTAGCTATTCTAACACTCAAATAAAGATTTTATACAATACTAAAATAACCATATTGAATGAAGCATATACTATAGCCTAACTACCCTTTACACTGTCAAGGAAAAAATTCTGTGAGTGGGCTAATAGGATATTTAGACTATCATATTCTCTTTTTCAAAATGGTATCAGTCTGCGTTATTCATTACTCAAATAAATTCTCTTTTTACTTTCTTTAAAAATATCTTACCTCTGGTAAAATTTTGAGAAGAGTAGTATGACATGAAGAACCTCAATCATATTGATTCTTCACAAATGCAATAGCCAGCTTAATAACACTTTTCAGCTCATTTTGAAATATCCAGGAATTGTTTTCGATTCCTTGATAAATAATAGACCCAGCGATAATGTCCTCTTCCTCAACACTTAACAAGAAATTGTAAATTTTAGTGTATAAATCAGCAGGCATAGTAAAAATAAAAGAAGTTATAATAGTCATCACTCCAATATACTACCCTTTTAAATGACTTCATTTATGTTCTCTCTGGGCTTATATTCATATTGGAGAGAAGAGACAGGAGAATATGCAATAGACTTATGCTAAAATTTTGCATTAGAGAATAGGGATATGCGAAAATATGCATTAAAGATCTTGATATTTAGAAAGGCATTGGAGGTAATGCATATATATATTTTTTTTGTCTGTCCGAATTAGGATAGATTATCTCCTGCAGGTCTATGACTGAAGGAGGGAGAAAAAATTTGAATTATTATTTTGTCGCACAAGCAAATAGTTGCACTTGTACTAAAGATGCCAGCCGAAACTTCCTCAAAATAATTTCGTTATATCCCTTACTATGTTTTTAATATAGTTTCAGCTAATTTCAGGTTTCGGGGTTTCGTCGTACCCCTCATTATGTTTTAATATAATTTCGGCTGTTTATTAATTGCCTTTTTTGAGTTTTGTCCCTCATCTTTAACTCGCATAGATAATTGGCAAGTGTATTATTATTATATCATATATGCATTTCACAAGCTTTAACAAGGATTAGGAATATGTTTATTTATGCTTTAGCATCTTAACAGCTGTGCACATGCCTACATGCTAGAGCTCCGAATCAGGTCAAGTCAACCTGTGACCCGACCCGACCTGAAAAATCCAGGTCAGGTAGACAAATTTTCAGGTCAACATCAGGTCGGATCAAGCTTATGACCCGACCTGATAAAATTCGGGTCAACCAATCAAATTAAACGAAATAAAATATTTAAAAAAAAATT